AAACCGGGCGGGGCGTGCAGGGGTGCTCAGGGCGGGCTGCGGGAGCCGGGTGCAGTCCCAGCACCCCAGAACCTGACCAAGGCCGCGGTGGGGCAGAAACCCTCCCCCAGGGCGGCTGAAAATCGCACAAATGGGCTATCACACAAGACCAGGGAAACAACTAGTGGGGGAGAAGGGAAACAGAAAGGACACACAGTCAGAGGTGGTCACAGAAACGGTCAAGAAACATGGCCTTAGGATGCGACGCAACTAACTTTACGGGGAATGGGAAGGAAGCCGGACTGGGTTCAGTTCACATGCCTTGCCAATCACCCAAGCTAAATCAGACATTTTTTTTCTTTTTGGGTCACACCCGGCGATGCTCAGGGGTTACTCCTGGCTCTGCACTCAGGAATCACTCCTGGCGGTGCTCGGGGGGATCATATGGGATGCTGGGATTCGAACCTGGGTCGGCCGCGTGCAAGGCAAATGCCCTCCCCGCCGTGCTATCGCTCCAGCCCCTAAATCAGACATTCTATCCCACACCAAATTTGATTACTTTACAGCTTACACCTTACTCGTTATTCAAGCAACAGTCCTTCGTATTAGCCCCATCACTCAAACATCTAGCGGGGGTAAGGACTCAGTATCTGCACTGCACCTGGCAGTCTACAGTCGAGGGATGTATGAATTACATCCCGTGCTCAGGCGGACTCCCAGGGGTTCTGGCTGCAGCAGGAAACGGCCAACCCCGCACAGGGCTGGTCTCTCGCGCCAGGCTGTGCAGACACCCGCGTCCCTGCCCTCGGCGCGGCCTGAGGAAACCTCGCCTCACCCCGCCCCTCCCGAGACCCCCAGCCCCAGCTGCCGAGACTCAGAGCCCTGGAGACCCAGGTTCACACGGCTGCTGGCCGGGCCCCCGGGTTCCCTGCTCGCCCATCAGGTGGGGTGGCGTGTGATGAGGTCGAGGGGTGCTCAGCGCCTCGGTGCTCACAGCCTGGCCCCCGGGACGGTGATGCGGGTGATGCCACGGCCAGAGTGGCCTCCAGAGCTCTGCCCCGGACCTCCCCGCAGCCCCAGTGGTTCTTCGGGGCTCTACTGATGCACTCAGCTCCCAGCAGAACAAGCCGCCCCGCCCGGGCCCAGAACCTTCTCCCCTGCCCTTCTCTGAGCTCAAGCCCCCGAAGGACGGGGTCCAGGCCCACGCACCCCTCCACACTCGGCCCTGAGCAGCGTCTCCCGCAGAGCCTCAGCGGAGTGTCCACGGGGCCTGTCACCCCTTCCGTACGCCGCCAGCCCGTCGGAAACTCAGACACAGCTGGGCCTGTGAGGCTCCCCGGGAGAGGCCGAGCTGGGGCGGAGTACGAAGGGTCCCCAAGGGCGAGAGCAAAGTGAGACTGGATTGTGCGGACGCCTTCAGAGCGGTGGGAGGGAGCGGCCGAGCTGCTGGACAGGATGGCACGAAAGGGGCAGAGGAAGCGGGTGGGGGGCCGCCCGCGGGGCTGGCAGGACAGGGGGTCCCAGGCAGCGGATCAGGCAGCCTCCTGCAGGCGCTCTGGGGAAGCTTAAATTTGGTCCTTCGAGCCAAGAAAAACATCTTCGGCCTGAAATATCTGGGTATCTAGGAAACAGCCGCTTGAGTCATGATCCACGTTCACAAAACCAGACACCAGGTCTGGCTGTGCCCCTCCGCCCGCTTTCCCTGTGCTGCCCGCCCTCTCCGGCCCCCCACACCGCCACACCCAACGCCTGGCCCTGCGCCTGGTGCTCAGGGCTCACTCCTGGCGGGGCCTGGAGGACATGCAGGGGGCCGGGATGGACCCGGGCCAGCCGCGAGCAGGGCAGGCCCGCCCCGCACCACCTCCCATCCCTTCTCCGGAGCCACCAGCCATCCATCTCAGGCTCTGTCACTCCAGCCCCTTCTCGGCGGGGCCCGCGGGCACACCGAGCTCTCCCTGCCGCATGTGACCACCCAGGGGTGTGCTCCAGGGACCTGGGGCCCCTGCCCTGCCGAGCCTCACACTCTCGTGGGCACCATTCTGGGGCCTCAGCGGGAATCAGGAGCCTTTGCGGACGCAGCCAACAGTGTCCAGGCCCACCCGGGCCGATGAGTCAATAGCCCTACGGTCAGACGTCACCAGGCTGACGGCTCAGTCTCACCCAGGCGCCAGCCTCAGGAGGGGAAGGGGGGAGCAGCCCTCGGGAGCACAGGGGTACAGCCGGGCCCTCAGGATGGACGGTGGGGGAGACGCGGCTCAGAGGGCTGAGCACGCAGAGGAAAGGCCTGGGTTCCACCCCAGTGCAGGGTCCCCCGAACACAGAGCCGGGAGCAGGGCCAAGTAGCCCCGTGAGGCCTCCGTGAAAGCAGAACTCGGTGCAGTGACAGGACAGTGAGCAGGGGGCCAGCTGCAGCCGGCCCGAGTTCGATCCTCAGCAGCCCACGGGCACCCCTGAGCCCGACCAGGAGTCATCCCTGAGCGTGGAGCCAGGACGAAGCCCTGAGCACTGCTGGCTGTGTCCACTAAAGTGAAAACAATAGGGGAGGGGGGCCATCTCCCCGCGCCCGCTCCCCTCCCCTGCAGAGGGAATTGGGAGCAGAGCACAGACAGCTGCAAGGGCCGGCAACTGCAGCCGGGCAGCGAGACGCTTTCCTTGCTCAACTGACCTGGCACCGCAAATGGTCCCCTGAGCACTGGTGGGTGGTCCCTGAGCACCTCCTGGGAGGATCCCCAGCACCGACCCAGGGACAAGCCCTAAATGCAGATGGGTCCAGCTCGCCAAAAGAATGGGTACCCACAGAGTTCAGAGGTGAAAGGTTAAGGTACATGCAGAATAGCCCGGGGCAAGTTTAACTCTGCCCTGCGGGGGGACTCGCAGAAAGACACAGCAGCCAGGCTTCGCCCCTGCACACGCGCCCCACGGCAGTCAGGCTTCGCCCCTGCACACGCACCCCACAGCAGTCAGGCTTCACCCCTGCACACGCGCCCCACGGCAGTCAGGCTTCACCCCTGCACACGCACCTCGTTACAGTCAGGCTCCACCCCTGCACACGCACCCCAGAGCAGCCAAGCTCCACCCCTGCACACACACCCCACAGCAGCCAGGCTTCACCCCTGCACACGCACCTCGTTACAGTCAGGCTTCCCCCCTGCATACATGCCCCACAGCAGTCAGGCTTCACCCCTGCACACACACACAGCTATAGTCAGGCTCCACCCCTGCACACTCACCCCGCTACAGTCAGGCTTCACCCCTGCACACGCACCTCACTACAGTCAGGCTTTACCCCTGCACAAGCATCTCGTTACAGTCAGGCTTCCCCCCTGCACATATGCCCTACAGCAGTCAGGCTCCAACCTGCACATGCACTCCACAGCAGCCAGGCTTCACCCCTGCACATGCACCCTACAGCAGTCAGGCTCCACCCCTGCACACATGCCCTGCTACAGTCAGGCTCCACCCCTGCACACACACCCCACAGCAGTCAGGCTCCACCCCTGCACACTCACCCCGTTACAGTCAGGCTTCACCCCTGCACATGCACCTCATTACAGTCAGGCTTTCCCCCTGCACATGTGCCCTAAGGCAGTCAGGCTCCACCCTGCACACGTGCTCCACAGCAGCCAGGCTTCACCCCTGCACACACGTCCTGCTACAGTCAGGCTTCACCCCTGCACACACACCCCACAGCAGCCAAGCTCCACCCCTGCACACGCGCCCCACTTCAGTCAGGCTTCACCCCTGCACATGCATCTCGTTACAGTCAGGCTTTCCCCCTGCACACGCACCCCACAGCAGCCAGGCTTCCCCCCGCACACGCGCCTTACAGCAGTCAGGCTCCATCCCTGCACACGCACCCCACAGCAGCCAGGCTTCACCCCTCCACACACCCCACAGCAGCCAGGCTTCACCCCTGCACACACCCCACAGCAGCCAGGCTTCCCCCCTGCACACGCGCCTTACAGCAATCAGGTTCCATCCCTGCACACGCGCCCCACTTCAGTCAGGCTTCACCCCTGCACACACGTCCTGCTACAGTCAGGCTTCCCCCCTGCACACACACCCCACAGCAGCCAAGCTCCACCCCTGCACACGCGCCCCACTTCAGTCAGGCTTCACCCCTGCACATGCACCTCGTTACAGTCAGGCTTTCCCCCTGCACACGCACCCCATAGCAGCCAGGCTTCCCCCCTGCACACGCGCCTTACAGCAGTCAGGCTCCATCCCTGCACACGCACCCCACAGCAGCCAGGCTTCACCCCTGCACACACCACACAGCTGCCAGGCTTCCCCCTTGCACACACCCCACAGCAGCCAGGCTTCCCCCCTGCACACGCGCCTTACAGCGGTCAGGCTCCATCCCTGCACATGCACCCCACAGCAGCCAGGCTTCTTCCCGGCACAGGCACCGCACAGCAACTAACCTTCACCCCTGCACACGCGCCCCATAGCAGCCAGGCCTTCTCCCTGCACACGCACCCCACAGCAGCCAGGCTTCCCCCCAGCACGAGCGCCTTACAGCAGTCAGGCTCCATCCCTGCACACGCACCCCACAGCAGCCAGGCCTCTTCCCGGCACAGCACCACAGCACCGCACAGCAACGAACCTTCACCCCTGCACACGCACCACACAGCAGCCAGGCTTCCCCCCTGCACACGCGTCTTACAGCAGTCAGGCTCCATCCCTGCACACACCCCACAGCAGCCAGGCCTCTTCCCGACACAGCACCGCACAGCAACGAACCTTCACCCCTGCACACGCACCACACAGCAGCCAGGCTTCCCCCCTGCACACGCGCCCCGCAGCAGCCAGGCATCCCCCCGCACGCGCGCCCGTCCCTCTTCCGGGGCCCTCGGGGGCGGCTGCGGGGCTCCCGCCGTCCTCCCTCCCAGCGGCACGGGCCCTCCCGGCCCGCGCCCGACCGCACCGTCCCGCGGAGCGCGGGGCCGCCGCGGAGCCCTCCGGAGCCGCGACCCCGCGGGCGCCCGCGACCCTCCCGCGGCGGGGGCGCGCGGCGGTACCTGCTCCGCTCCTCCAGGCTGCGGTCGTCGGCGGCCGCGGCGCGCCAGTCGGGCAGCGTGCTGGCGCACAGCACCACCATGGACACGATGACGAAGAGCACGGACACGCCGGCCAGCACCCGCGCGGCCCGCGACGACGTGGGCTCCTCGAAGGTGCGCCGCATGCGCTCGAGCCAGCGCGGGGCCGCGGCGGGGGGCGCGGCGGGGGGCGCGGCGGGGGGCGCGGGCGGGGCGCGCGCGCCGGGCGGGGCGGCGGCCAGGCGCTCGTCCAGGCGGCGCTGGCAGCAGAAGTCCAGGTGCGCGCCGTCCAGCCCCCAGTAGAGCATCTCGTGGTAGAAGGACAGCTCGCACATCCGCGGCGCGAAGCGCAGCTTGCCGTGGCCGCGCGCGTACAGCAGGATGAAGCCGAAGGCCTCCGGGTGCCGGTCGAAGAAGTACTCGTTGCGCTCGCGGTCGTAGTCGTCGCACAGCTCCAGCACGTCGCGCTCCGAGCGGCAGCCGTGCAGGCGGCTCACGCGCCGCAGCGGGAAGTCCTTGAGGCGCTCGCGGGCCAGCGCGTAGCGCGCGCCGCCCACGTTCAGCACCACGGGCGCCGGCATGCCGCGCCCGCGCCGTCGGGTCGGGTCGGGTCGGGTCGGTCGGGTCGGTCGGGGCCGGTCGCGTCGGGGCCGGTCGGGCCGCCCGCCCGCCCGCGCGCCGCTCGCTCCCGCCGCCCGGCCGCCCGCTCGCCCGGCCGGCCCCGCGCCGGCCCCGCGCGCGCGCGCGAGGCGGGGCCAGCCCGGCCCCCGCCCCCGGCCCCGCCCCGCCCCGCCGCGCCCCGCCGCGCCGGACCCTCCCTAGGTCCGCGACCCCCCGCCCCGGCCACCCCGCGCGCCCCGGGCACCACGCGCGCCAGACCCTCCCCAGATGCCCCCCACCCCGGCACCCCGCGCGCCCCGGGCACCCCTGGCGCCAGACCCTCCCCGGACGCTCCCTAGATCCGCAAACCGCCCCCCCCCCCCGCCACCCCGCGCCCCGGGCACCCCTGGCGCCAGACCCTCCCCGGACCTCCCCGGGCACCCCTGGCGCCGGACCCTCCCCAGATCCACACCCCCGGCACCCCGCGCGCCCCGGGCACCCCGCGCACCAGACCCTCCCCGACCCTCCCTAGATCCGCAACCCCCACCCGGCCACCCCGCGCCCCGTGCACCCCTCGTGCCCCGAGCACCCCGCGCGCCAGACCCTCCCCAGATCCCCCTCCACCCCGGCACCCCGCGCGCCCCGGGCACCCCTGGCGCCAGACCCTCCCCGGGCACCCCGCGCGCCCCGGGCACCCCTGGCGCCGGACCCTCCCCAGATCCCCCCCACCCCGGCACCTCGCGAGCCCCGGGCACCCCTGGAGCCGGACCCTCCCCGACCTCCCCGGGCGGCGCGCGCGAACCGGGCGCCTGACCCCGGACCCTCCCCAGATCCACACCCCCGGCACCCCGCGCGCCCCGGGCACCCCGCGCGCCAGACCCTCCCCGGACCTCCCCGGGCACCCCTGGCGCCCGACCCTCCCCAGATCCCCCCCACCCCGGCACCCCGCGCGCCCCGGGCACCCCTGGCGCCAGACTCTCCCCGGGCACCCCGCGAGCCCCGCGCGCCCCGGGCACCCCTGGCGCCGGAGCCTCCCCAGATCCCCCCCCACCCCGGCACCTCGCGAGCCCGGGGCACCCCTGGAGCCGGACCCTCCCCGACCTCCCCGGGCGGCGCGCGCGAACCCGGCGCCTGACCCCGGACCCTCCCCAGATCCACACCCCCGGCACCCCGCGCGCCCCGGGCACCCCTTGGCGCCGGACCCTCCCCAGATCCCCACCCGCACCCCGCGAGCCCCGCGCACCCCGAGCACCCGCGGCGCCGGACCCTCCCCGAGCGCCCCACGCCGCCGCCTTCCTGGGCAGCGCGCACCCCAGGCGCCTGACCCTCCCCGGACCCTCCCCGGACCCTCCCCGGACCCTGCCCGGACCTTCCCCGGACCCTCCCGGACCCTCCCCGGGGACGCCGCGTGTGCAGCGGCCCGCGGGAGCCCCCGATCCCGGCGCGCTGCGCTCAGAGCCGGGCGGCCCCGGGACGGCGTTTCGGGCTCGGCCTCGGCCCAGCGGACGCCCCTCACCCCCCGGGACGGCGCGCAGGTGAGTGGGCGGGGCCGGCGGGAGAGAGGCGCGGCGGCACCGGCCGGTGTGGACCGGCCGGTTCCGAGAGGGTCTCGGCGCCCGCTAGAGGCCGCTGTGCCGCGGCGCGCGGGGGCCGGGGGGCGCGGAATTCATCTGGGGGTGATGAACGCGGGGGCAGCCTGCGGGGAGCGGCCTCGGGCGACGACCCCCGCCCCCCCCAGCGCGCGGGGCCCTGCGGAGCTCTCGGGGCGGGGACGCAAGCTCGTGGACCTCTGCGCTGCCGCCCCGGACCCGGGTCTGCGACGCCCACCCCTGCCGGCCTCGGGGGTGCCGGGGCTCCCTGCCGAGACACCCTCCCGGGCCGCGGCCGCTTGCGGGCAGGGGCTGGCCGGCGCCTGCGAGTTAGGAGCCGGTTCACAGACGCGAGCTGCAGGATCTGGGTCTCGGCCCCGCTTAAAGTGCTCACGGTGGGCAGGGGGGAGATACAGAGGCGACAGCACTCGCCTTGCCAGGGGTTCCTGCATCCCCGCGCCATGGCACCACCCAGAGCCCCACCGGGAGTACTCCCTGATGCAGGCCAGGAGTGCTCCCTGCTGCAGTCCAGGTGTGCTCCCTGCTGCAGAGCCAGGAAAAGTGCTCCCCGATGCAGAGCCAGGAGCACGCCTCGGCTTACTCAGCCAGGTGGGGCCCCCGGAGGAAAACAGAACTTCCCTGAAGCTCCCTCCTCAGCCAGCCGGCCTTTTGGCAATTATTAATCCGACCTTAGTCGAGCATCTTCCACCCAGATCCTCCAAATTCCAGTAGGCGGGGGTCACACCCACCACCTGGCCCCCTGGCGCCGTGTAATCCCATCAGCGGCCAAGACTCAGAGACTATAAAATCCAGATCCCGGAACCGCGCGGCCGCATTCCCGGCCGCGCGACATCTTATTATCTCATTCCTACTTTGGACAAACTTGCAGGCTGTCGAATGTAGCCTGCCCACAGGGCAGAGTCTGGCAAACTCCCCGTGGCCTACCAAATATGCCAAATACCAGTAACAATGATGGGTCTCATTCTCCTAAAGAGCCCTGAATATAATCTCAGGGCTAAGATGAAAGAGACGTTACTGGGGCCTGCTCGAGGCAATCGACAATTAACAGGATGATGAAATGAAAAATGAAAATCCGACCTTACCCTGCGTGTTTGCCTCTTCTCCAGAGCTAATAATCCCTTTCAAGTCTGTTGATGGAACCGCTAGAAAAGATACCACGCTTTAAATTAAATTCGAGCTTAGGAAACACATTAATTTGCCGGCAATACGATTTGTGTCTCCTAGGCATATCTTCACGAAATTTCTTAGAGAGATAGGCTGAAATCATTTCATTTCTTCAGGAGGAATGTTCCGGCGTGACCCAGTGCCATCAGCCATCACCGCAGCACGGTGCCCTGGAGGTTGCAGGACTGACCCGTTCGTGCCAGCCACCCAGGGAGCATCCACGGCCCTCAGCGGTGTGGCCGGGGGACGTCACATCTGCACCCGTTCCTGGGACGAGAGCCGGGCGTAGTGCTGGAGACTCCCGAGTGTTTCTGGTCTAAATGCCCAGTGGCCACTGCCCCCGCCACAGCCCTCACAGCCCCTCAGCCCAGCTGGCGCTGTCCGCCGAGGGGCCCTGCTGCTCTCCTCCGAGTCCCGTGTCGCGCTGGACACCCTCGGCCCATCCCCGTGGGCCGCCCTAGCCTGGCCACCACAGAGTGTCCACACCAGCCCTGCAGGGAGTCACTGCTGGAGTTTTGGAACAACCTGGCTCCACCCCGGCCCCTGGCGTGGAGTGTCAGGAGTCAGCGCTGAGCACAGCCAGGAGAGGCCCGAGCATCAAAGGAGCGCTGGACCCGGCCCCTCGGGAGCGGGGGACACTCTGCTCGGCCACCCGCTTGTAGCTTGGGTGCTGGCACAGAGTGGCCGCAGGAGCAGGAGGTCCCATCAGGGGTCCCGAGTCACCCGCCGCCGGGCCTGGGACGTCTCCAGGGGTGAAGGAGCCATCGCAGTGGACACTCAGCCTGGCCAGTGGCAGTTGCCACTGTCCCGTGCCCACTTCCCCTTGGCCACGCCTCAGGCCAGACACCTCCTCCTCCAAGAAGCCTTCTGGCCTGCTGCTCGTCCTTCCGGACCTCTCCTTACCCACTAAGCGTGTCCCCCTCTGAGAGCAGGCATCCCAGGGCATGTCCAGGGCAGTCCGCACAGGAGGACACCTGCCCCTTCTTGACCTGCGTGCAGGCAGGCTCTGGGGCTGGCACAGAGGGGCCCCCGGGTGCGTGGGTGGGGGCGTCCAGCAGAGCTGCCGGGTCTGGCTCAGGGCCCCGGGTGAGAGGAGGGAGGGAGGCCCGACCTCGGGTCGACTCCGGCAGAGGGAGGAGAGACCTGAGCCCTGGGACTGGTGCGGAGAAGGTGAGGGGCCGGGGCTCTGGGCCCTGCATCCTCAGCCCGGGGAGTGGCCACCTGCAGAGGGGATGGCGCAGCTCTGCGGCAGGGCTGGGCCTCTGCACCCCAGCCGAGCAGCTCAGACAACTGAGTGAGTCCCCGCTGCGTCCCCCCACCCCCCAGCCCTCCGGTGCCCGTGAGGCTGAGTGTGTGGCCTTCCTGGAAGGGAGCACGGCCCAGGGGGCTCTAGGAACGGAGCCAGTCCGGCTGCTCCCCTGGGGCGGGCTGGGAAACACCAGCCCTTTTCTTCCCGGCCTGGTCCAGCCCAAACAGCTGTTCTGTTCCTGCGGTCATCACCCTGCCCTCGAGGCGCCCCAGCCTTGGCTGTTTCCTGGACACAGGCCTCTTCAGGTCCACCAGAGTGGTGGGTGTGGAGGGCAGCCTGGAGGGGGCGTACTTCCCAAACAGGTGCTGAAGCAGGACGTGGCCGGGGTGGGGAGAGAAACCCACTGAGAGTGCTGTGGCGCTGAGGGCTCCCCCAGCCGGGCCCCGCACTGGCCAGCACATCGGGCATCACTGGACTCTGAGGCCCAGAGTGCCCAGCGCACCCCCACCCCAACTGCTGCGTCCATTCTCCATCGTGTGGAGCTCAGAGCTCACTGCCCGGAGGCGGTGGCACAGGAGATGGGAGTACGTGTGAGGGTGTGTGTGTGTGTGTGTGTGTGTGTGTGTGTGTGTGTGTGCGGTACATGTGTATGCATGGGAGTATTATGTGGTGGGATGTTTGTGTGTGTGTGTGTGTGTGTGTGTGTGTGTGTGTGTGTGTGCGCACGGAGCCTTGCTTGGGCCCTGTCTGGGGGGGTTGCTGAGGACAGAGCCAAGGCCCAGGGGAGCCCTCTTTCCCGTCAGCTTCCCTGACTGCGTTTCTGGGCTCCATGGCTCCGTGGCGCCCCCAAGTGGAAGCACAAAGGGTCGCAGGGAGATAGATCAGCTGTTCTGGACACACGTGGCCCTCATGTCTCTGCAGGCCTGACATGCACATGGCCAGCTCGGGTGCCCCGTCTTCCACTTCGTCT